TACGAAAGGATGTCAAGTGGTCTCAACGCATTTTCAGCTTGATATAAAACGGTTAGTTATTGCGAAAAATTAAAAATAAACAAGTAAGGAAGGGCTAAGTGTGGATGTAACCGAACATTTTATACTCTCGCAAAGTCAAATAGTATACTCGTTTGAGATTTCTTCGTGGATTGACTGATATTTTCGGTAGAAGGTCAACTTAGGCACTGGGGTCCACATATTTAGTACTTACGGACTTAAACAGTTTTGATTCGATTTAGACAATTTTTGGCCACAAGGTGGCATACTTTAATCGCATTCTTCACGCAAAGTTTTATCCCGATACAGTCATTGTTGCCTGATTTGCATAGTGGAAAGTGAAAGATTCAGATGGAATTTAAAATGGTGTTACATGGGAAGTAGGCGTGGTTGTAGTCCGATTTCGCCCATTTTCACACTATGACATAGAAACATGAAAAGAACGTTACGCACCGAATTTGGTTGAAATCGGTTAAGCAGATCTCAAGATATGGGTTTTCACCTAAAAGTGGGCTGTGCCACGCCCACTGTCTAATTTTGACCGCGGTTCTTATAAAGTCATCTTATACCATCTTAGAGATAAAATTTAATGTCTCTGGCGTGTTTAGTGGTTGATTTATCGCGCTTTTAGTAGTTTTTAACAGTACCGTTATATGGGGAGTGGGCGGAGTTGCCACCCGATTTCAACTATTTTCACACCGTCAATAGAAGTGCTAAAAACATTTGCTTCTAGTGAATTTTGTTATTATAGCATTAGCGGTTTAGGAGATATGCACATTAAACCTATTAGAGGCGGGACCACGCCCACTTTAAAAAAAAAAATTTTAACTGCAGATGCCCCTCCTAATGTGATCCTGTATGCCAAATAAGAGTCTTGTATCTTGTTGCGGAGCTTGGTTATGGCAATTTATTTGTTTTAGATTAATGGCGTTTTGTGGGCGTGGCAGTGGTCCGATTACGCCCATCTGCAAGACCAACCATCTCACGGTACCCAGAAACATGTCTACCAAGTTTCATAAAGATATCTCAATTTTTATTCCAGTTAGAGCTTGGGGACGGACAGACAGTCACCCGGATTTTAACTCGTCTCTTCATCCTGATCATTTATATATATATAACCCTATATCTAATTCGATTAGTTTTAGGTGATACAAACAACCGTTAGGTGAACAAAGCTATTATACTCTGTAGCAACAGGTTGCGAGAGTATAAAAAATGAATAAAATGCGAAAAATGAAAATTTGCAACAGCAACAATAAGTGTGGTAAGATCGTACGCGAGCAGTCAGTCTGCAGCAACAAAGCTGCAATGAATAATCCTTTACTGTGTGAGAATATTTATATGTGTGTGTGTGTCTTTAGTGCGCATACCGACTTGTTTAATTTGTCCGAGACTAAATACCATAAAATATCTGCTGTTGCAATAATAACAAATACAACAGTTGCAGCTGCAGATTTAATGGTTTTAAGGCGACGTCTTAAGATTGTTTACCAATTGTCTTCTCTAGCGTTTCTTGCTATTTATTTATATACCCTGAACAGGGTATATTAAGTTTGCCACGATGTTTGTAACACCCAGAAGGAAACGTCGGAGACCCTATAAAATATATATATAAATAATCAACATGATGAGCTGAGTTCATTTCGCCATGTCCGTCCGTCCGTCTGTATATATGCAAACTAGTCCATCAGTTTTAAGCTATCGATCTGAAATTTTGCACCTGCCCTTTTCTCATCAAGGAGCTGCTCATTTGTCGGAACGAGCATATAACTGCCATACAAACTGAACAATCGGAAGCAAGCCCTTGTATGGGAAACTTTTTTATTTGACGTAATATCTTCACGAAATTAGGCATGAGTTATTATTTAAGGCAACAATGGAATCTCCGAAGAAATTGTATTGATCGGATGACTATAGCATATAGCTGCTATACAAACTGAACGATCGGAGTAAAGTGCTTGCATGAAAAACTTTTTCATTTGACGAGGTAACTTGACGAAATTTGGCATGAGTTATTTTCTATGGCAAGAATATAATCTCCGAAAAAATTGTTTAGATCGGATCGCTATGTCATACAGCTATCATAAAAACTGAACGATCGGACTAAAGTGCCTGCTTGGAAAAAAATTTTATTTTTTATTGCCGATTCACGAAATTAGATCTGAATCAAGTTATTGTAAGGAACCTTTGTACCTGTGAAGGGTGTTATAGCTTCGGTCCAACCGAAGTTAACGTTTTTTCTTGTTTATTTTCCGTTAGTGAATGACGCAACAATAGAATCGCATCAGCACGCAATGAGGTGTTAGAAATAATTGTGTAAAAATGAGTTTTTCGCAATTTACGCTTTTGAGAATGCAATGGCAATTGGAATCTATTGGATAGTGTATTAGTTCCATACTTGCATCTATGGATGTTTGTATGCCTTGTAAAGAATATGCGTGATTTATTTACTTTGTGACAGGGCTTATGGTGGTGAATTGGCTAACACTTGATTCGCTTTTGAGTACGTACTTTCAATATGCCACACGTAATTCTTTCAACTAGTTTCATAAAGGCTGTTTATTTAATAAATAAATAAAAACACAGAACATTTATAACATTTAATGTATTTTAATAATCGGCGATGCATTTTGAAAAGATTTGGATTCACCGCAAAAGGTGTCTGGCGGTGAAGAAAATTTTGCTGCTTAAAAGTATCTTAAATCTAAAAATCAAAAAAAAAAGTTTATAACAATAGATGAATCTATTGCTACTCAACATTTTGATTTTTGACAAAATGGCGGCTTCCCAAACAAAAAGTTGGTTTTCGCGAAAAAGTTCACACTACAGAGTGGCTTAAAAATTGAAATTATTATTAAAAATCTTATTCATTCGCACGTTACCTGACAATCAAAGAAGACATTGAAAATTACCAAGTCGACCCGCCCCGCCGTTTCGGAGAAATTTTCCTCACCGACTCAGAAAACAGCGTTTCGAGAAAAATGCGTTTATTGTTTTGGGACCCGATTACCTTAAGTTAAAAAATATTTTCTAATACGCTCATATCTTCGAAACTATTTGCCGGATCCACTATTTTTTCGGAAAAAATTTTTTAAAATTCACAAGTGGGATAACTCCTCAATGGACTTAAGGAGTAATTTCAAGATTTATCCCAATCTTTCTGAAGGTATCTCAGATCAAAACATTATTACTTAATCTCTGACAATGAGTGCTTGCTGTGCATTTAAAAAATTCAAAAATTCACTTCAAAACAATTAGTCTCGAACTCAGACTGTAGGTTAACGAACTTAAATTAAGTTATTTAGTGTTGCAATGAAAATAATGCAATAAAATCGTGTGTTTTATATAGGTACAACACCTACATAAAGGATGATCCATGTACTAAAATCTGAGTTGACTATTAAACCAGTAAAATCTTTCCTCTCTTATTAGGCATCATAAAAATACTTAAATCAGTCTTAAAAGGAATAAAATAGAATCTAGGAGGAGACTTTTCATTATTGTAAGTTCGTAGTCAATTATACTTAATTGTTGATTATTCTCTAAAAAAATCTAAAGAATACTGCACCCTTTTAATAGGTGACAGGCCTAGCATACGTCCCGTTTATGTAGACATGAATGTTTAAACTCCAAATTAAAGATTTTCTCATAACTTTCGCAATAGATAGTTTAATGGTCTAATTTCCATAAATCTGATCAAAAGATTCTTGGACATTTGGAGATAATTGCCTTTAGTAGGATTGATGGGCTTTCGGATGTTGGCGACGGTGATAATTGCAAGTAATTAATAGAAGAAAGGTGAAATATAATGACAGCATTGTCATAGATATATAGGACATTATAAGATTAGACTTAGGACTCAAAGAATATCACTTGGATTTGAATATTATCTGTATCTATTTAGGCACTCAATTCACTTGGCGCCGAGGTATGTATTCTGGAAAGGCCTCTTTAGTGAGACACCCTGTATATGGCCCCCTCTTTATGCGTGTAGAAATTCATAAATATGTTTAGGTACATGTTGACAAATGTCAAGACAAGTCTGTAGACAACTTTTTGAAGACAAAAGCGCGACAAGCGCTCCCTTGCAGATAATTACAGCAGCGCGCCTTGCTGCGACATACGGTTTGGCCTTGCATGCGCGGCAAAGGAGGACACTGCATAAGCTGAGCACTGATGTGGTGAAGCCACTTCGTGACTTATTCATCTTTATGGTTTTACTTTTATCTTCATTTAAACGTCAGATTCAGTTGATGCAGCAATTTTTTAAGGTTGTTATTGTACGACTTATTACTACTGAAACCGTTACAATGCATGCTGGAAGAAAATGCTTGAAAGCTAAAAAATATGATTACTGCAACATCTGTATAATAATAACACAAAAAAAAAACAATCACAACAACAATATTTGGCCCTTTCTGGCAAATGTTTACCACGAAAATGTCAAATGCAACTCAGCGCATCAAAATTGTAGAGTTGTAGTTGTCATCGCGGAAATTTTATTATAATTTATTATTGCAACGTGCTCCATCTTCTGTTACAAATGTCCGGATAATGCATATATCTGTATGTCAATATATAAGTACGTGACTTTTGGAAGCCATTTTTTATTATTTTAAATTTTATACTCCTAAACAATGTCTTTAACATTCAAAAGGAAATATCGCAGACTCTATATAATATACATATACATATGTACCATAAATGAACGATCAGCGTGACGAGCTGATTTGAATTATCTATGTCCGTCTATTTGTTCGTCCCTACATTTTTGAAATATCCATATGAATGTTTGCACTTTTATCCCCAAGAAGCGGCTCATGGTTCATATGGATAAAGCTGCCGTAATCACTGAACGATCTAAATAATTCTAATAATTGCTTCGGTGAAATCCAAGTTAGCTCTTTTATCCTTTATTTAATTTTTATTGTTTATTTATTTTTTTCTCTACTTTACATTTTTATATGAAAATGTATACTTACACCAATGTGTTGGCCTTCCACAAAGAGTTGAGGTACTTTTATCGCTTCCGAGTGCATTCGCTCCTTTATCTCTTGCTGATACTCGATGCTCATGAAGACGTCCCGTTCTTCGAATTTCACAAGCAACGTACGCAATATCTGCTTGACATTCGCACATTTGGCATATGTGTCACGTATGATGCCCATACTCGTTGTATAAAGCACCACCTTACCGGCATCCTTTTCCTTGAAGTTCTGTAAAAAAATAGAAAAATGAAGTAAAATTAGTCAACTAGTCAATCTAAGCACTACTTGTCTAGATTAGAAGCTATTGTATTAAATAATTATTAAATACTGAGGAACTAGGTATGGGGACAAAAAAATTATTAAGAATCATTCAAATTTTCTATTTTATACCATATATAATAAATAAGACAACAAAGGTCTAAACTCCCTATAGCACCATATTCTATTCGAATATTTTAATCCTATTTCGTATTTTAAATTAAAAATTTTCAAACTGTAACTTTGTATCGAGAGCAACACTTCGTGTATTGTATTCCGAGTGTTCACAATTTGCATAGACGTTACTTCTCATATATTTCATCACTTTGTAATCGACCTTGATTACTGTTAATCGAAGAACGACACTGTATCAAAACAATCTTTTAAATGTTAATATAGCGCCGTATTCGCTTTGCGTAACTTTTCTCTTTTCCCCGAAATAGCAGTTGAAATCAATTGTTTTATAATGTTTGTTGGAATAGAATGCTTCGATTCAGTCACAACAAACTTCAGTTATTTTTAATCACAAACGTCCTAACATTTGTGGTGCTGTTAAAATTAGATTCTTTTTATCTGAAACAACAATAATAATTCAAAACAAGTAAGGAAGGGTTAAGTTCATTTTATATTCTTGCAACGTGCAAGGATACCTCAAAGGCACTATTTATGCAAAGTTTTATCCGAATATATTCATTGGTGCTTGATTTGTGTACTGGAAAGTGAATCATATAGAAATTTTTATTACACAGGTGCCCTTTATACTAATACAATCCCCTGTATCAAATAACAGGTTTATATCTTAATTTAGCGCTTAGTTATGGCATTTTATAGGTTTCCGATCAATTGTGTTTTGTGGGCGTCTGTGGTAAAAACACTGCCTTTTTGAGAGTCCGGCGAAAATTCGTTCTAAATAGAGTCAACTGTAATACTCAAGGTCATTCACCTTGTTGCTACAATATGACTGTCAGAATGTTTTAATTTCCATAGCTTAAAAAAGGAATTTGTGGGAAACATTCTTAAGTAATCAAGACAGTATTCAAAAATCAATAAAAATATTTGAAAAATGAATTGAGTAATGAAATAGTATATCTTTGAGGAAGGAAATTAAATTTCCGTAATTCCCGTCCCATCATTTTTACTACTAGCGGAGGTCTCTCGGCAAGCGATGCTAAATAATCGATCGAGTATATTTCTGACACGGAAATATTCCCATGCAATCAATCGTTCGGAGATAGCTTACATTTTTTTGGGTTATTAAGATTCACTCAGTAATCTTAGTAGTGGACCCGGCATCGTTCACCGAACTGAGTCAATAAACTGTACAAGACTTTGATATAATATGGCAGGTTTACTCGTATATATATTAACATAACGTAGCTAACTGTTCTATTTCTGATAGCCTTATGAGCTTATTTGAATACTATTGGTCGCAATTTAAAAATATTTCCACAAATACACTTCAATCGTTAGCTCCAGATTAGTTGACAGTCATTCTCAAAACACTCAAAATCGAATGAAATAAAAGCGTGGTTATATCATATATGTTTGTATGAAATGTAAAGAATATATAATATGAATTGACAAAAATTTAAATTTTAAAAAATATACGTGAGATTTTAAAGGATTAACGTTTCAGAAATACTTTTCACCTGACGCAAAAAACCAAAACAATTTTCTTAAATTTTTTTCTGGAAATATATCCATACTATTTTGAATTAAATCAATTTCTAATAATTTTTCAAATATTGACACTTTGAAGGCTACATAAATATCCTGACGTACTGTTTTGGACTTGTAAAGTGGATTTGGTATACATGTTTGGGATCCATATACATTTTCTCATATACAATAAAAACGACATGGTCTCACATATTCTGCAATGAACTGCTTTTTTACAACAAAACGTTGTCACTTCCAAGGGGATGGCATTTAATATGATTACGATTTCATATTATGCAGTTAAGTTCATTTGATCTCTTTATTTAATTTATGAGCAAAATCAAAGTTCATACTGCATTTTTTTGTATTAGCGCCTCGAATTTGACTGACTTAATTATTTTTTATTTTAACTAGAAATGTTTTTTTTTACAAAATTGGCATGCCCGCAGCTGAGTAGATAGATAGGCCAACTAAAAATAGACTCAAAGCAACATTTTCCATGCCTTCATTAAAAATATATGAAATGTATGTTTGTGTGTGTGTTTGCTTTTGAATTGGTTTGCGTGGCGTCACGTCTGCGCAATGGGTGTGTTTCTATGTATGCGCTTAGTTGCAATTATTTTTAATTAAATTTGCAAGTTCTCTATGCAATGGCATGCGTTCACCTAAAAGTGGCAGTGAGAAGCGATGATGCAGCGCTGGCAAAATGCTTATTTTACAGTTGCGGCCAAATGCGCTCGGCATTGTTTGTTCCTTGTGCGTGATCACAATAAATAGACTGCAAATACCTTTTTTGTTGTTGTAAAACAATTTTTTTACACAAATTTTTATCATTGCAATTTATGTGAACCTGTGCACACTTCACATGTACGGAGTGCTCTTGCCATCTATATTAGTTGTTGCTGCGCTGTATATTGCACAACAACAATAATACATTGACATTAAGGAGTAAATAGTTGTAGTGGCAGTTCAAAGTGGCGCACAGTCTAGTTTATGTGCGCATCTGGTTTGCACCGGTGCAAGTTAGCTACAAAAATATACACATAATCGTACACGCACACACATACACACATGATCGCTCATTTGTTTTCCAGTTGATCCTGTTTGCATTAGCAATTATTTTATTTTTGTTGTTGCATGTTGTGCGCCTTTGTGGCTTAGTCGGTGTACGCATACCGGTTGCAAATCAAGATCATGGCTGCATGGCTGCCACAACAACACACATGCATCGAAAGGCGCATACTAACGGTTTTTTTCTTTAAAATATGATTTTGTTTTTCGTGAAAAGCGCAGCCAAGGTCTAGTTTGAACGTGCTCCTACAACTTTATTTTGTAGCCAGCTTGCTCAATCTCATTTTTCGCACTGGTTTCTTGTACGAAAATTCATTTTAAGATTTTTTTTCTGGTTTTTTGGGCCTGTGCAATTATGGTGAACATATTGCGATATATACATATATTTATATATTTGTAGTTTTTGTGGGTTGTTAGGTATGTGACATTCCATTAGATTTTGTAGGTCAACTTGGTATTTTGTTGGGAGGCTTTTATTAATCATAGAGGATATGTAGATAAGAATTATGGGAAGTTGTTAATGTGAAAAATTCTAGTTATAAGTTTACTGTAACCTTCAGAAGCATAGTTCTGTTTATGAGCTCAAAACGAGAGCATTGACATAAAAACTAAAAGTATCTGAATTTTAACCGCTGATTTCTTACAATTATTGACTTGTTCAATGTTGACCGATATTTTCGGTTAAAAGTCAAATATAGGCACTGGGGTCCACATATTCAGTACCTAAGGGCTTGAACAGTTTAGAGAATTTTTGGTCACAAGGTGGTATACTTTAAACTTATTATTCATGCAAAGTTTTACGCCGATATAGTTATTTTTGCTTGATTTGCATACTGGAAAGTGAAAAAATCAGATGGAATTTAAAATAATGTTATACGGGAAATAGGCGTGGTTGTAATCCGATTTCGCCCATTTTCGTACTATAACATAGAAATATGAGCAGAATATTATGTACCGAATTTGGTTGAAATCGGTTAAGCAGATCCCAAGATATGGGTTTTCACCTAAAAGTGGGCGGTGCCACGCCCACTATCTAATTTTAAACGTGGTTCCTATAAAATCATCTTATACCATCCCAGAGATAAAATTTAATGTCTCTGGCGTGTTTAGTTAGCTTGATTATTTATCACGCTTTTAGTAGTTTTTAACAGTACCGTTATATGGGGATGGGCGGGTTGTCACCCGATTTCACCCATTTTCACACCGTCGATAGAGATGCTAAAAACATTTGCTCATAGTGATTTTCTTATTATAACTTCAGTGGTATAGGAAATATGCACATTAAACTTATTAAGGGGCGGGACCACGCCCACTTTAAAAAAAATTTAAACTGCAGATGTCCCTCCCTAATGTGATCTTGCGTACTAAATAACAGTCTTGTATCTTATTGTGAAGCTTAGTTATGCCAATTTATTTGTTTTTGATTAATGACGTTTTGTGGGCGTGGCAGTGGTCTGATTACGCCCATCTGCAATACCAACCGTCTTACGGTACCAAGAAACATGTGTACTAAGTTTCATAGAGATATCTCAATTTTTACTCAAGTTGCAGCTTGCACGGACGGACAGACGGACGGACGGACAGACAGTCACCCGGATTTAAACTCGTCTCTTCATCCAGATCATTTATATATATATAACTCTATATCTAACTCGATTAGTGTTGATACAAACAACCGTTAGGTGAACAAAACTATTATACTCTGTAGCAACAAGTTGCGAGAGTATAAAAAACATTTTAAAGACAAAACCGTTTTTTTAAAGTGCGAAAGAATTTTTGTTATATAATAAAGTTTTTGAGTAGATAACATACCCGATACTTTTTATCTAATCATTTGGGGACCACAACTTTTGTTAGAAAAAGGTTAAGGGTTATACTTTTTAAAATTAAAATTAAATGCTACAGTTTTAAATGAGTATCTAAAGCTTCTAAAATGTAGCTGCTCACTTCAATCAATTTCAAATCAAATTCAATCTTTTAACGCTTTTTACTCAAAACTAAATTTTTTAAATTTGTTTGAGTGATTACTCGAAGACAACTGATTTTAATGAGTGATTGTATAGTTCATAGTAGATCATTAAACAATTTTTTCTACACGTTCTGTACATAGTTCTAATTTTGCAGTTAATTAGAAGAGCTCAGCTTAGCAACGGGAAGCAGTCCAATGATGGCCTTAAGGTTTATTTTGCTATTGGAAAAGTTTATAGCTGCCGCAAAAATTGCTGTAGCTAATGATCCGC